TTCCAAATCATAGTGTGGCTTTATAATTGTCAGTTTGATGCTCTGGTACTAGGTTTATAATTTTTATGTAATCTTGATGAATTGACCTTTTTATCATTGTTAAATATTCCTCTTTAATTCTGGTGACATTTTCTGTCCAATAGCCATCCCATCCATGCCAACATTCTTATGACTAATGTATGATTTGTCTTTTTCTGACTTTTTATTTTTAACCTGATTGTATTTTTATTTTTAACATAGGTCTCAAATGAGTATTTTGTGGCCAATTTGGGCCTTAGGTTTTATCTTGTCATAATTTCTATCTTTTAATAGGATCACTTTGTCCACTTACTTGGAATATAATTATTAATATGGTTAGATTTGAGTCTATTATCTTGCTTTTTTTTCTGTTCCATCTGTTCTTTGAACCTTTCTTCTTCATGACTTCTTTTGGATTAATCATTTTTCAAATATTTTTAATACTTTAAATTTTGTTCACGCATATTAGCTTGCTTTATTTATTTGTAATGCTGACCCAGAGTGATAAATATATATTGCAGCTTACTGTCAAATAATATACTTATAACTTGTGAATTTGACAATATTCATTTTGTACCACCCCATTTTTTGTGCTGTCCTAAACCCCTCAAGATACTTTTGTCACTTTTGATAAAACCCATAAATGAAAGCAAGGATTTGAGAGGAAAAAGTGTTTGATATTTATGTACATATTTATTATTTCTGACACTCCTCTTTTTTGTGTGCAATTCCAACTTTCCATTATTTTTCTTCAGGATGAAAAACTCCATTGAATAACTTGTAGCACAAGCCTCCTGAAAATAATTTCTCTGCTTTGTCTAAATATGTATTTTACTTTCATTTTCTAAACAATATTTATACTGGATAAGAATTATAGATTGACTTATTTTCCCCTTTAGGAATCCAAAGATTCCTTTTTTCTTATGATTGTCTGTGATGAGAACATGGGATGAGAGAGGGAGCACCAGTGAATACCAGTGTCCTTTGGTGTCTCTCCTCTTCCTACAAGGACACCAGGCATAAGAGCTCCACTCTTATGAACTCATTCAGCCTTAGTTAGCTCCTCAAAGGTCCTAAAGCCAAAACTAGTCAGACTGATTGTTAGGGTTTTAACGTATCAGTTTGGGGAAGACGTGATAGGGAGACACAGGGCATTCCCAACAATTTCAACCAAAAAAATGTAACGGCTTTCTTATACAGACTTCTGTAGCTCCTTTCCTAAACAGTTTCTTTTTTCTTGGCACCATATTCCATACTTTCCGCCAGCTCTGCCTCGCCAAGCTCCAATATGTCTCCTTGCAATGGATACCCTATGACAAAATTTAACTAGAGAAGTGATATCTGGTTTATGGTTTGAAATGAGCATTGTGTGTTTTGTAAGTCAAGAGAATTAACTCAGGCAGAAAAGTACAAACAGCAAAAAAGATATTCCAAACAGCTAAGAATGCCTGCCAACTATGACTTAGTTTTCCGTTCCCTCAAGCTCAACTGATCACAGATTCAAGGCCACCTAAGTGGAGGGACTAAGAAGTAGAGAGTTCATGTTCCACCATTATACACAGAGGAAAGACAATAACTATAGGGCCAGGGATGTAGCTCAGTGGCACTGAGCCTCCTTGGCAAGCACAAGGTCCTCAGTTCAATTCCCGGTACCGGAAAAAAAAAGATAACTGTATTATCCTAAGGTCCATTCTCCTTTGATTTACAACAACCTGAATTATTCATATAAGAAAGTTGCAGCATTTTCAGCTAACCTGTCTGGCCATAATGCCATAATTAAAGTCCAGAGTGTCATTCTCCATAGATTAGAGTTTATCAATCTTTTCCTCAATGCCATTATTGTCACAACCACTCTGAACCACTTTTGTCTTTCTTCTACTTAAGAACTACATCAAAAATTGGTATCTAGGAAAATATAAGGCACATGTTAAATCTATAAATCTATGAATTAGGTTGCATGCTGCTTTATAAAAATGATTAAAAGTATGACCTTTGGAATCAGGCAAATGTGGTTTAATCCTAACTCTACTATGCAATGAAAAACTCTGGAAAATTCTAAATTTTGTTCAGTAAAGCTAAGCACAAATATATCTGTGCTTAATTGGGTGTTCAAATGAGTTGATTCCTGTAAACCACTTAGCATGATGCCTGGCACACAGTAAGAACTCCAAGTTGGTAGCTGTTATGATTGCTTATTGTAGTCATTAATATCTGTTACTTTATTAAATCCACTTATCCCTAGAAGACATGAACATGTAAACCAGTATATGAAGTTAAAATTACAATCTATATACTCTAGGATAACAATTTTTTGTAATAAAATTAAAACAAAATTTAATGATTGTAAAATTTATAGTGGATTTATATTTTAGATTTCAGGAAGTATAAACCTTATAGTAAACAATTTCTAATTATAAGCTACTATGTAGTATTACGTTAGTTGATTTTTAATAGCTCAAAATGAAAATCCAAAATTATCATATTCAACACAGTCTGAATTTATATTATTATATAAAGATATTAAACATAGTGTATTGCAGTTTTCTGAAGAAATATTAGGTACACAGTTTAAACTTACATTCTGAGTTTTGTTTTTGGGGTAGAGTTTGGTACTGGGAATTAAACCCAGGGATCCCACATAGGGTTGTATTCTAGACCATTTGTTTGTTTATTTGTTTGTTGACAGGATCTTGCTAAGTCTCTAAGTTTTCTAGGCTGGGTTCAAACTTGGGATCTTCCTGTCTCAGCCTCTCAGAGTGTTGGAATTAAAGGTGTACAACTCCATGTGTGGCAATTTCTAAAAAGCTTAATGACAATGAAAAGGGTTATGCTGCAAGTGAAAAAGTAGATATAAAACAAAATATTCATTGTTATATTGAGAATGTAAGAACAACTAGACAAAAAGGTTAAGTTACTAAAAATAATTAATTGAAAGTAGTGGAGGTAAATGTCACTTCTTTTTATTCTTTTTTTCATTCTTGTAAATGTACATAGATTCTCTCATAGCAATAAGAAATGATTAAACTGACATGTCATTTAAACATTAGCAATCTGACTGTCAAAAGGCAATGGAGACAATTCGTTAGAGCTTGCTGGTCTTTAGAGACAAGTGAGAAGTGTGTTTAGAGAGAAGGTCGACCTAAAAACAAGTTACGTGAAATGGGCCAAAGCCCTTCGGGCTATTTACAGAGGTTTGTGATCTGTATACTGGATTTGTATCAAGAACTTTGTAAGGGTCTTCACCCCTATCAAACCACAGAAAAACATTTATTTAACACCCTGATACAACAATTTAACAACAACAACGAAAAAGAGAAAGTTATCCAAGTGCGCGGGAAAGTGGGGGGGAACCCCACAAAGCTATAGATACGCTTGATTTCACAAGGAATTATTTTTTACTAGTACGTTTTTATCCTGTTTGGTGAGTATGTAAAAACAAATCCGCAAGGACTTTCGTAGTAGAGAGCCCATCTGTTCCACTATAGTCATTGCCTCTTTATTTGAGCATCGGATATTGCCTTCAGTTAACCACCATGCATTTGTAATAGTCTGCAGGGGAGAATTCCTCAGCCTGGGAGTCAGATGGCTTTACTGTAGTGCCTCATGCTGAGACAGACCACATGTCTTCTAAAAGGGAGGGAGTCTGCTTTAAATATCCATTGAAGAAATCACCACTGACTGTCACAGCCAGCCTTCCAAAGCTCTCAGAGCAAGGCAGGGGAAGAATAAATGTATATAATGCAAGCACCTTGGTTCATAAGCATTCAGTATGTCATTATCTTTCAACAGAACAGTTTTGGTTGAAATTTTTATCATTTATAGGTTTAGGATCTAGTATTTTTCCTTTCAAAGAGTAACACCTCTAAACTAGTACATAAAACTGCAGTGCATTTAGCTGATTTAATGAAACTTAATCTCTTATCTTAAAATTTAAGGAAAGACTGGTGGATAGAAGGAATGGTCAGCTTGGAATGCCCAACTGAACTGAGTGAGTGCGGTTCTGGGCATGGAAGACCCACCTGAAAATTACTGTCAACGGCATAAAAGACCTGGAGGGGAAGACTGTGTGCTGCTGGTTTTCCTGGGGGTGGAGGGGGGGTGCCAGGGCTGCAGCTGTTTTTCCTATTGAGAACTTGGCTGTTCTCCTTGTCCTAGCAGCTTAGGTTCATGCTGTCAACGGGGATGGGTGCTGTTCTAGTCAGGGGAGCTCTGGTCTTCACCTTGAGCTTCGCTTCCTGGCCCCAGTGCAGCTCCTTCAGCCTGATGGCACAGATCCTTTACCCTGCCAGTGCAGACTTTCTAGCTTCCACCACTGGCCTTTGGGCCTTTCCGGTACAGATCCTCCATATGGACTTACATGAGACATTGCCATGCGTTCTAGGCTTTTGTCTGGACTTGTGCAGGACATTACCACGGGACCTAGGCCCTCGGCTGGATTCTTTAAGTCTCTGGTGTGTAGACAGATCTCTTGTGCTCTCTGCATTCGACTTTTTGAGTGAATATGAAAATAATACTGTAAATTAGGCGTCCCATATTAGATCTATTTCCTTGCAAACCCTGACTACAACAGACTCCCTGAAAAGAAATTCATTAGGAGCCCAAATGAGTAAAGACCTGGCCTATTGTAATACTGATCATAACTTGTATTATTATCCATGATTCAACCAGTAAAAATTCAAGTTCTTTAATAAAAACTTAATAAAAATTTAATAAACTTTAATAAAAATTTATGATTCTGGGTAAAATCTGAGTTTTTCATCAGGGTAAAATTATGGCTGACAATTCATAAAGCTTAACTATAAATAAAAATGCTTAATCATATTTGTTAATTTGCAAGCTTATTCTCAAACTATGATAGTTAAAGGTATATTTGAGAACAAACTGGAAAAATGGAATTTTTTAATTGTCAAGAATGCTACGTAATAAGTTTGTTTATTCAGTAACACAATAAAATAGGAATATTCCATTCACAGAAGAGGAGTAAACAACATAAAATATTATGATAAAACAGGAAAACAATGGGACCATAATTAAGAACCTGATAGCTTTTAATTTACAATAGCACTTTTATTATTAATAGGACTAAAATACAGTAGACTCTCGAAGTACAATTGGGCTGACATATGAACAACTTGGGTTAATTAGGTTAATGGAAGATTCATCTGCCTCTAGTTACCTATAGCAGGTACCCATGTAAACATCTAGATCTCAGCTTTATTGACTTAGTTACAATCAGCCGTTGGGAACCAATCGAGTTTATAAGTCAAGGGTCCACGGTATATTGTTTTGTTGGTGAAAAACAGTGATAGTACTTGAATATTTACACCTATTTACCACGTGTCAGGCACTGCTATAAATTACTTAATAATTACTTGTGCAATTTTTATGCAATAAGTAATAATTAAGTATGCTCATTTAACACCCTTTTAAAATGCTTTAAGACATATAAAAAGCAAATAATTACACATAATTAAAATTGAAATTTTCTGGTATTCAATTATTCAAGTACATATTTATCTATGAAATTAGAACACTAAGTGCTTAATATGTAAAACTAGTTTAAAGTCGCGACTCTTGATTAAATATAATCTCCAATACTCTCATGAGGCTTCGCAGCTTCGAAAAATGAACTTTAAACAACTAGCTGGAGGGTGAATCACTAATACATTCTAAAACATAGCCAAAACAAAGAGTTTGATTTCAAAGACTGAAGTCAGTATAATAATCCACTATTTTTATAATTATATTAATAAACTAGTTCTTTGTTCAAAATCTCAAACATAAATGACATTAACAATATGCATGCATGAGACCTAATAAAAATGGCACTTCAGGGAAATTATTGCTTAACCTAGAGAAAGAAAATGTTAATGTTGGATTCCTGCCTAAGGCATAAATTGTGGTCATGCACTAATAAAGTAGGTTTTCTTTTTTAATTCTCTAGCTTTTAGAGATATTTTGGAACTTTTTATGTTTTCTATATAGATATTTTAGACAAGCTCTAAAATTTGAGAGGATAATTGACAAAATAAAATTCCCTCTTGGATGGTAAAATATATTAATTCTACTATTATATAAATAGAACAGATCTGATTCATTTATTGGACAAGTGCTAGCTTCTGAACCATCCAGTTAAAATTAAATTAAACTCTATGGCAAACAATTCATTTTCTCATTAGGTAATCAATGTTACTTTCAATAAGGCCATTCCCACTTAGTCTCTTCTCTCTTGTCACAGCAGTCATCTTTAAAACCAAGTTCTAACCCTATAGATCACGTAAAAGGAAACAATTTCCTTAACAGGTGGTTTAAGGGAATCTGCAATAGAGATGCATTTAAAGAAAATGTAAGTTCTTAAGCAGTCTAATTAATGGAGCTCTTTCTTCCCATATGAAACTGATCTAAAAAACTGAAATTCAAATGCAAACATTAATCTATGAAGTTAACAATAAAACAGTCTGCAAAATCTCTGACTCATACTATTATTGTTTTTTAAAGGAAAATGGACTGCAGTATTTGTACTGCATTAAAATCTTTACAAAGTTGATCAATGCTGACCAATAAATAGTAAGACCAACATATTCATTTGGTTATGTAAATTATACTAGAAAATCCATAAAAACACAAAATATTGATCACCAGTAAACCAAACAGCAAAATACAATGCAACACAAAAGAAAAGAAATGTTACTTGGTAAACACCAGTTAATAAAAGCAGCTTCAGTAAGAAAATCGATCAGCGTTACATAGACAATTTCTTCTTTAAACAACCTTACTCCACAAGCACATTTAAAACACAATTAATAAATGTATTTTTAATTTTAAGCAAAAACCACTGTATTCTCTTCTCTGGGTGTATGTGCTGTTCTTAGTCATCTTTTTTGTCTGAGGTATTTTCTTCATGACTTTCAGGGCTGACTTTATTGCTTGCAACAAAAGGAGCTGTCTGTACTTCATTTGGCAATGAAAACACATGGCACGTCTGGAGGTCTAAATATGTTGTGAATATCTTAGCATATTCTGGATGCCTCAGGGCAAAACTTTTGAATTCCTCTAGAAGACAAGAAAAAAAAATCCAATAAATTAGGGTGAATCTCTTTTGGCACAGTATGAGGTAGCAAATATCCTTAATCATGTCATATGATTATTACACAATTCTGTTCCCTGGCTCACAAATACTGCCGGTGAGAATATAAATTGTTCAACCACTTTAGAACTTTTCCACTCACTACTAGTCAGGTCAAAGACAGGCATACTGTATGACCTATTCATTCTATTCTGAGGTACACAACCTAGAGGAAGTGAGCATATTGTATGCAGGGAGATATGTACAAGAATGTTCACAGCAATATTGTTAATACTAGGTTAAAATTAAAATAGAATATTTAAAGAGGTCTATTTCTGGGCTAGGGGTGTAGCTCAGTGGCACAGTACTTATCTCGCATGTGTGAGGAACTAGATTCAATCCCAAGTACTGATAGGATGTATACTTCTATGATGCAATGGTAAAGTAAAGCAAGGCAGAGATTTCTTTTAAAGTCAGAGTGCTGTTCCCTCCTGTAAGAGGGAGGAAGGGGATGTGGTAAGGAAGGGACACACAGGGAATTCTGGGGCTTGGGAAAGTTCTATTTCAAGAATAGAAATGGCGGTGATTACACAGATGTTCATTTCATAAAATTTCATTGTTCTCCACATTTATGTTTTATCCCATTTTCTGTATTTATGTAATTTTTAGCATAAAAATGTTTTTAAAAATTCTGCTGCAAAGGACTTTCTATTACTGGCTTTCAAAACTATTTTAGCCCTTAATTCTAGCATACAAAGATGCAACCTTGAAAAGCTAAGCTTTAGCTTATACTCAATACAGTAGTGGCCAATAAAATATATATAACATTCATTTCACAAGACTTCTGAGTAGTGATTCTTTTTATATCAACTGTTTAAGATTCAGGAGCTGACAGAAGTATAGAAGGCTTACTAAGTTACCTATGAGGTCTTGGATCTCAAGCCTCCAATAATCAGGAGTTTCTAAAAAATGACACTATCTTCAGTTTTTAAATTACTCTATCCTTGCCTATATGAATCTATTTCAATGTTGAAGAGGAGGACTTAGATGACTTCTAAGGAAAGAGAGCATGAGGATTGATTTACTGAAACCAAGAATTTTTAATTTCAAAACTTGTACTCTTTCTAAAAGGCCAAAATCCTCTGGTGGGGTGTCAGTGGCATTAAAGAGTAACTCATTTCTAAAAGTGCTCTAAGTTGGCTATAAGTGGAATTTGGGCATTAATTTGACTAATGGAAAACCAAGAGCAAAAAAGGCTCACATTCATGACATGTCAGTATGTCTTTTTAAAGTAAAATTTACTTATATAACCTCAAACATCCCTAAAAAAGTTGAACCTATACAATATTGGGAAAGGGGATTCTTGCTTTAATATTCTGAAAAGAAACAGGCTGAATTCCAAAAAAGCAGACTTCCCTAAAAAATTACTTAAATTCAGAGTTTAAAATTATGACTACTTATAAATCATTTTTAGTATCATCCCCTGAAAGTTATTCCAAGTAATTTTGAAAATTTAGTACTTCAAAGTAATGAACAGTATTACATATGAAAATGTTCAGAGAAGAATTAGTACACATGGATTTATTAACTTTTATATCAATATGTATACTTTGTCATTTTATCCTTTGTTTTGTTTTGTTTTGTTTTGTTTGTTTTTTTAATAAACTCAATAAAGGCCCGAGGCACTTAATTACTCAGAAAAAGAATATGTGACAGCCTAAATAACAGTAATTAAAGACAGAGTAAGAGGAATCTGTGATCTACTTCCCTGTCCAGTGAAGGTTATCAAGCTGAAACTCCTTGAACACCTAGGGAAAAGTAATTAAGGAAGGAAGGAGTCCCTTCCAGCCTGAGAGGAAAGGTTGAGAAGATAAGCCAGCCTAACTTCTTTTAACTAACATCAAAGTCCAGGCTGGAAGCAATCACCGAGGCTTCTCCACTGTGTGCTTCTGGATGACCGCACTGTGAAGAGTAGGGAAACTGATTTACCCTCCTATGGCTCTACTCAACTTACTCTGATGTGTGGGACTGAGCCATCAGGAGAGAAGACAGTCGATGATGGAGGGTCCTGCCGTACACCAACAGACTTGTGGATGTTTTTGTAAACTGCTACAGTGAACATCCATAAATGGTTTAGCTACTATTATTGTTGGCACCTGGGTCCACACTCCTCTATTGTAGTTACAACCCAGTTTGATTAATTTGCTGAGTGTCTCCTGGCTACACTGACAGGAGATAGGAGAGGCACTTAGGTATAGAGTCAACATTGCAGGCTGTAAAACCAAGCTGGCTTGGATTTTGGAGCCTGGTTCTTGTAATTTTAGCTGGAGGATGTAAGGAGAATTATTTAAATCTTTTTACTCAGTCAAAGAACAGAATTCTAATTAAATAAATAGGTTTGCTGTAAAGATTAAATGAGTTAATGTATACAAAATGTTTAAGAGTGCCTAAACATGTAAGTCCTCAATAATTAGCTACTATTACTAACACATCACTACTATCCTCAGTCAGCATCAGCAGCAGCATCATTATCATTACTATTATTTCTACTATTAATATAATTAGTAGAGGGAAATACTCTTCTATAAGCCTCAATTTCATAGTCTGGATGCCCTCCTTCTAAACCAAGAGGCCAAACTTCCACTTACCATAGGAAATAGAGTCCCCTTGGGCGATTTCCTTGAAGAGACCAGAAACATCAAGATCAGGAACTCCAAGAGAAGCCTGCAGAATGGTGGAAAACTCTTTCTCTGATATACAGCCATCCTCATCAACATCAAAGAGCTGAAGTAGAAATAAAGTAAGAGTTCCCTCAGGAGACTAGTGTTATGGGATGGTCTTGGAAATAGATTCATTAATGATTCAAATATTTATTGTCAGGGGCTAAGATATGTATATGAAGAAAGTATGATCTCAAGCCAGGGATTTAGCTCAGTGGCACCATGACTAACTTACAAGAGCAAGGTCCTGAGTTTAATCCCTAGCACCCGGGAAAAAAAGAAAGAAGAATGGTTTCTGCTGCTTTTACAATATTAATAGTTTAATGGTACAGAATTAAACTAGCGGCTATTGCAGTACTAAGTGCAAAAGGAAATGGAAGCCTTATGGGGAACATGATGAATCCTAATAAAAGAGGTCCAAAGAGGCTTACTAGGGGAATTGGTATCATGGCTGGGTTTTAGAACATGGAAAGATGTTACCAGAAGATATAAGGAACGTCAGGTGACCGCCTGGGGTTAAAGTCAGTAGACTGAGATTAAGTAAGAATTAGGATGGTAGGTATATAATGCTTCACTTAATCTTGTACGACAGTGATGGAAGAGAAGGTAATATGATCACATGTGAACCTAAGGAAGTCTTTGAAGCTGAACATGGAGGATGGGTTAAGGGCAGGAAGTTGATAAGACTACAGGCAAGAAAAATACTTCTAGGGTAGACAAGCAGGAAGAACAGGAAGACAATAATTTGTAAGCAGCAAAAATAGGACTTGAAGCAGAAGTGTGTAGTGATGGAAAAGAAGAAGCCAAAGATGTCTGAGTTTTCTAGCTTGGGTAACTGGGTGAATGCTGGTTACATTAAGCAGGAGAGGGAAAACAAGGACAGGTGCCAAATGAGATGAAAAGCTGGAACTGAATAGTTGAAATGAGTCAACAGTGGTTAGAAGTAAGAAAGAGAGTCAGATAGCAATTCAGAAGATTGAGGAATCCTGTTAAGAACTGGAACAATGGGTATGTTTGAGCTTCTCTGTAGAGAATGTACAAAGTAAAGCAAAGTAAGAACAGCAACAGTTGAGATGTATAGGGAAGAGGAACTGACAGACTTAGGAGAAGCAATTAAAGAACCAGAAAAGGAGAGTATACATTCCAGATAAGTTGAGGGAGGGTTTTTATGTCAAGGGAAAGAGACTCTGGTAGTAGTAATGGCAAATAGAGCAAAATGCCACAGACAGGTCAATAAGAAGCAGAAGGGTTTGCACTTAGGAAATTGTGATGACTTTAATAAACAGTTTCAGGAAAGAGGAAGCCAGAGAGTAATGGAAATCAAGGAAGGAATGGAAGCGAAAAGTGAAGGGAACTGGCATGGACACTTCTTCTTCTTTTTTTAATTATGGAATGAAAGTCAGGAGATAACAAATTAGCAGCCAAACTCAAAAGGAAGTTGTCTTTAGGAAGCACTACACTGAACAGGAGAGGAAGAGGCAGTAGAGAGGGGATAAAAAATCAAGCTGAAGAACAGGTATAACTGATAGATAAATAATATCCCATAATCAAAATCTTCTCCTGGATATTAAGAATTTTTAATGGTATAAGAAACTACTCTTTCAAGGCAATGACCCAAAATATTCACATTACTTTGCATGTATTAGGCCCTAACCTTCCCAACAGTCTTATGTCAGGTAGACCATTTGGACCCTCCCTGGAGTTTGAATTATGAACTGAGTTGCCTAGTTTAACTATAGTCCCCAAGGAAGGGGATAGGGCAGTTCCTGGAGCAGGGAACGTGAGAGCTTCTTAATGCTGAGTTTTCTCTTGAGCCTACACCCTGACCTCACAACCATTCCTCGTTGGTGTCACTCAGCCAGAGTCTACCCTATCACTTACAGCTGAAAAGCTCTGAGTCTAACTCTAAAGGTCACTGTAGGAGAAAATAAAAGCTAAGAAATTAACTATGAAATGCTGTCCAAAGAAAAGAATGAAAAAGGGCCCTATATATAAAAGGATACTACTAAATGAAAAATAAAGTATGTAAAAATATTTCTGGGCCAGATATTTAGCTCAGTGGTTCCACTGGCTGCCTTGCAAGTGGGATTGTCTTCTCAGAGAAAGTCAGAGTTTGATCCCCAGTAAAAAAAAACAAAAAAAAAAAAACAAAAAAAAAACCAAAAAAATAAATATATATATTTCCAAAACATAAAACACACCTGCATCTAAAGATTAAAAAATAAACAATGCAAAGTATGACCCTTTCCTTACTGAAAAAAAAAAACAACTAATTATAGTTGTAAGGCTTCCTTTTTTCTTTCTCCCATCTCAAAACCAAGGTCTAGGCTAGACGAAAGTCTCACGGCTTCTTTAAAAGCAATAATTACTGTGATTAAGGGCCAAGTTTTCTATCAGGTCTTTCATCGGTAAACCAAAAGTGACTATTTGCCTAGCTTAACTTGTAATTACACATACAATTTCAAAACAGAAATATCTCCATTGAAATAAGTTAGCTATGTGTGTAATTTTAGGTTTTATGATGAGTAAGTCTATAAAAGCTGAAGATCTTAAATTTTGGAAAATGTTCTGGCTCCTGCCTTATGACCATCTGTTAGGCATCAACCACGTAGGTTCTTTACAGGCCTAGACGTCAATTCAGTGGAGACCAATACAAAATAAAAAGTCAACTTAAAACTTTCTATTAATGACAGAACACTTGGAAATTCCCAAGGCTATCCCTGGGGGCCTATAAGAACCCTTGGCAGAAGAGACTTTCGAGATAACAAAGGGGAAATAAACTTGATGGAGTCACAGTGGGATTGTCTTCTCAGAGAAAGTCAGAAAGGGGTGAGAGTAGGAAGCAGGGAGAGTGAAGGTTCTCAGCTCTCATTTTATTTGGATGGAGCAGAAACTAGGTGGCTGCAGGAGAGCCAGAGTGGTAGAACAAATAGGGAGATTAGGACTCTGTTATACTTGAGAAACAATCACAGGTGCTTAGAACTCAAAGGAAAGATCATATTTCAATACTAATACATGAAGCACCTTTACTCTCTGATGAAACACACTTTGGATGTTCTTTCCTCTCCTTTTAAAATGGCAAATAAAATCTGAGACTGCATAATTCAAACTTTCATGAAACTCTACTGGGGACTGGAGACAGACATTTTACTCATTCTCTTCCAATTTATATCGCTATATTGTTGGGAAAACATATGTGATACGAAGGGAAGATGTGCAGGGTAGAAACTTGGGACATTTACGGTGGTTTGACACCTCCATAACAAAATAAATTCTAGCAGCCAAATGCCACTTAAAATATCTCTGACATACCAGACTGAGAAAAATAAGGACAGATCAGAACTTTTCACATAGTGAATTAGGATGACGAATGACAAGTGGTGTTTATTTATAAACCTTACTGGGGGCTTCAAAAGGAGGAGGCTGAAAAGAAATCATTTTTAAGTTAATTTGTTAAATCACCTGCTCCTCCATCTTGATGCCGTTACCTAGGCTGCTTCCCTTTCTGCTTAAATGAATGCTTGTGTTTTCTTTATTCTCAGCAGCAATTGACTTAATAACATTATTCTTCTGTACATGTCACAGCAGATCTTCCAATTTTCAAATAATACACTTAGAGTCAACACTTGTTTACAAAGCAGACAGAGATGTTGTCAGTGGAGTTGACAGTACCTTAAATGCCACCTGGATGATCTCCTCTGTGTTGGCAGGGTTGCACAGGACAGCCAGGCCAATCACATACTCTCGGAAGTCGATACTGCCATCATTATTCTGTGAAAGGATGGGAGAAATCAATTAGGAAACCTACCAGTTAGAATACTGTTAACCAGCCTGCAAGCTAAAATCCTAGTATTCCTGCAGCTCAACATCCTAATGCTCTGAGTCCTTCTGGACAAAAATTCTCACTGAGATGGAACAGCAAGCAAATGACCTCCCCATTCTCAACTCAAAAGGAAAAAAAAGAATATGCTCTCTTTAGTAATAAATACAAACATTTTGTAACTGAGGCCATTTAGAGTGGTCCTTCAGCTCCCAGTGGCAGTTCTTGAGCTCAACCTTTCCTTGATGGAGCATTTCCAGGGAAGTCTACATAGACTTTCTTCTTTAGTAGGACCAAAGCATTTATTCCACAATTAAAAGTAATCCTGCCACAATGGCCAGCAACAAATGGTGCTGGTCTTAAAGTGCTATGAATCAACCCTCCACATATAGAAAATAAAGGGTAAGGGAAAGGGTAAACTTGGGCATTAATTGTGCTACATTCTTTCTTTTTTCTTAATTTTCTTAAACCTGTAGCAATGGAAGCAAACTTGGGAACTTCAATAATCCTCTGGGGGTATCACATCTCAGAAAATCCTACACTTCTAAGCTAATAAAAATTAAACCTAACTAGTATGATCCACCTCAGGAGTCATTTCATGCTGATAATATAAAAGAAAGGATTGATAAGTCTAATCAAGGTTTACTGAATATAGTTTTTTCCTTACTTTAACCATTCACCTAGACAAAACCAAAAAGAATAAAAACAGAATGACAGCTTAAGACAAGGGAGAAATGGGGGGGAGACAGAGAGAGAGAGAGAGAGAGAGAGAGAGAGAGAGAGAGGGGGGGGAGACAGAGAGAGAGAGAGAGAGAGAGAGAGAGAGAGAGAGAGAGGGAGGGGAGAGAGGAGAGAGAGAAATAAGGCAGAAAGTGAAGGAGCAATGAAGGAAGAGGAAACAGCTTAAAAGAAAGTGAGAAAAGAAAAAAAAGAGATAAGAAGTGGGAGAAGTGATGGAAAGGAAATGGCAGGAGAAACAAGAGCAGTTGTAAACAAGCACTGTGAATGTAATCCCAGGTGTTAGAATGATTTTGGCAGAAAAATCTTCAAGTGATGAATTCCCAGATAAAGCAGGAGCCAGTAAAACAAAGATGACACAATGCTGAATTTGTCAGGCTAACAAATAATGTTTGGTATCAACCAAAGACTGATCTTTAACTGTGACTAAGTCTCTACACTTCACTCATGAAAAGCTCCTTTAAGGCAAAGATTGCTTTCTTTGTGTGGTAGTATATACCCATTGGCTAACAGTAAAAAAAAAAAAAAAAAAAAAAAAAAAAAATTATTTTCTTGCCTGTGTCTCCAAGTTTATAGAACCTTTACTTTAAAACACTATGGCAAGCATTCATCACTGGGCTTTCATAGATGAACTTAGGAAAGGGGGAGATTGTGAAGCTCCCAAAAATGGTGTACAACTTTTGTATGTACATTTTTCTAGGAAAAACAATTTTAGGAAAAATTTTCCTAAATTCCTCAGACAACCAATACTCAAAAAGTTAAGAATCACTTTCACTATATTATTTTATTTTAATGCAGGGTAAAAATTAAAAGGAATAATAATTTAATTCCAGCTTCCCACTAGAGAAAACAGAAACAGAGGTTTTAAGATTTCTCTAAGTAAGAGTTTATTCCCAAGGCAAAAACTGTCACCCAATTTTCTATTTGTTTGAAAACCAGACTACAAGAGAACTGTGATTTTTTTCTTCCTTTCTTTAATCTATTTCATTGTTGTATTATTTACACTCAACAGAATGCATCCATTTTAAGTGTACAGTCTGATTAACAAATGAATGCATAAACATAATCATTACCAAAATCAATATCTACATTTCATCACCACAGAGGTTTAAGACAAGGAAGAATTTCAAAGAAAACAATTTCCTTCTTCTGCCACTATCAGTTAGCTTTTTAATATACTGTGGAGGGCTGTTTTTAGTAAGCTTTAGATGTTACGGAGCTTTTATAAACAGGTATATTGTTCAACATAAATAAATTTCTTCTGTAATTGGGTTTTCCCATTAAGCAATATAGAAGTTTTGACTAGAAGCTCTAAAGAATACATCTAAAATATGTTGTATGCACACTAAAATTAATCACATATTATCTGTATGGAATAGTCCTTTGCATCTTTACTGTGAGACATCCAACACTACTAAACCCTATGTATAACACAATCCAAACATTATAACTCATTTTGCAGACAGAGATATGTAAATGTAATGCAACCTTAATATTACCAGTAGTCACAGAACAAGGTCACATTACAGACTGCTTATTTTCATTGAAAATATTATATATTAATGGTTTTGACTGACAAGATTGAGTTAAAGCAGATCCTTAATTCAATCACATTAGAAAATGTATGGAAGTTTTGGTTCTAGTAAAATGAAGAGAAAAAGTAGCATGGAATTTTTCTGAAAGATTCTCTTTTGGATTAATAACATATACACTGTTAACGTTCCAAATTCAGAATAGCACAATTTCAAACTGGAACACATATTAGAAATCAGCCATTCAATTTCATCATTTTTACTAATAAATAAATTGATGTACATAAGTTTCACTTAAGGTTACAAAACTCACTATTACCATAACTGCAATTAAAACTTAGGTAGTCTGAGAGGCTCACTAGATTCCACTGGTAAGTGCATGCAGACCCAGCCAGAAGCCCTAGTGGACAACAGGGACAGGTGTCAGGATCCCAGCCAGGGTCCTGCCCAGCCACCAGGGGCTTGGGTGCACAGCCCCTAACTAAAAGTCCTCCCAGACAACAGCTATGTAGGTGGGCAGGCTCCAGCCAGCAGCATGCCCAGATACCATGCTAAATGTGTGCAAGCCCCAGCCAGAACCACACCCAAACAACAGCACAGTGCAGGGACCAAGAAGGCCACCATTCTAAATCCAGGAATTGGTATACTGGGTGAGCTGCAGAGAGTAGGGCTCTCTGAGGCTTTCTGAGGATTGAAGCCCACTGGGTGAGCAAAGGGTCTCCTCAACAAAGGCACGGCAGCCTGCATTTTATGAAATGAGAATACACATAAAGAAGCCTCAAAACCAGACTTCCAGATCACCTAAGGCAACCCCAAGGGCAAACGATATGGAACAATCTGATACTCAACCACCTGGACTCCCTGAACTGGCAACAAAAGAGGATCTAGAAAAAATAAAATATGAAATAATTTCTCACATAACAACAGAGATTATGTCCACAGTGAAAGACACGATTAATAATTATAGAGCAGATACAGATAAAAAAAAATAGAGGAGCTGAGGAACATGATGGAATCCCAGCACAGGAAACAAATGGAATCTATAAAACAGGTACAAAGAGTAGAATGAGCCAACGTGAGGACAGAAATCAGAAAAAGAAGACCGGATTGCAATTAGTGACCAGGAAAAGAAAAATTTCTTTAAAATAAGGGACCATGAGAAATCAATCCAGCAGCTGCTATATGATGCGAAGAAGAATAATATAAGACTGATCGAGTCAATGAAGAAACAGGAGACAGTGCAAACATTTTAAAAAAACTGTTCACATAAGTAATGGCAAAAACCCTCCCAAGCAGGGAAAAATTTTGACATACAGGTAAGTGAGGCATATAGGACTCCAACTAGCTATGATTAAAAAAAATCTATACCTAGGCATATAATAGGTAAGGCATATAAGATTCCAAAAACCCAAAAGAAGAACAAAATACTATAAGCAGTTAGAGAAAAGTAACAAATCATATACAAAGGAAAGCCTATCAGAATCACAGCAGACTTCTCAACCCAAGTTCTGAAGTCAAGAAGAGACTGAAGTGAATATTTCAAGCCCTAAAAGAAAACAACATCCCACCCAGATTGATGTACCCTGAAAACTTATATTTCAAAATTGATAGAGAAATAAGATACCTTCATGACAAAGAGAACCTGAGGGACTTCATGAATACCAAACCAGCACTCCAAAAACTTTTAAACAATATCCTAGGAAAAGATAATGAAGATCACAACCCCACAAAGCCCTACAGAATAAATCCATCAGGTAAGACAAGAAAATAAATGCAAGGGGGAGAATCCAACAACAGGAAAAGGTCATCACAAGGTTAAGTCAATACATATCAGTTATAATCATTAATATTAATGGTCTCAATTCACCAAAAGAAACAGACTGGCAGAATGGGTCAAGAAGTAAAATCCAACAATATGTTGCATACCAGAAATGCACTTAATTCAAAAAGAAACTCATAGACTGAAAGTTAAAGGGTGGAAAATAATACTCCATGTGACAGGAACCTGAAAACAAAGCAGGAGTAGCTATCTTATTTGCAGATAAAATGGATTTCAAACCAACACTATTTCAGAGAGACAAAGAAGGACACTATATCCTTTTAAAGGGAATAATCCAAGAGGAAGAGATGAAAATCATAACCATATAAGCACCAAATACTAGTGCACCCAACTTTAAAAAACAAATATTAATGGACATGAAAAATCAAATAAACACTAATACAATAGTAGCAGGAGACCTCAATACCCCACTGCTACAAATAGATAGATCAACTAAACAAAAAATAATGTAATAGTAGAACTCAACCAAATTCTTGAACAAAGAGACTTAACAGATGTTTACAGTGTGTTCCACTCCACAAAATCAGAACACACATTCTTTTTGGCTGCACACAGTCTTTCTCCAAAATAGACCACATACTTGCTCATAGAGCATGTTTAAATAAGTGAAAAGGAATCAAAGTTATTCCCTGTATATTGTTAGAACATAGTGCGATGAAATTGGAAATCAATAGCAAAAGAAACCCCAAGAATTTAATAAACATATGGAAATTGAACAACACACTCCTGAACAATCAATGGGTCACAGAGGAAATTAAAGAAGAAAGCAGGCAGTTTCTATAATTAAATGACAATCCAATGCAACATATTGGAATCTATGGGACACACTGAAAGCAATCTT